AGTTCGTAACTTCGAAACATTTAACCTTTTCAATTTCGCTATATAATGAGTATACTTTTTTCTATCATAATCTATCAATTTTATTAAAAATTTCTAGAACATCGATGAACCGATTCAAATCTTCCTTTAGTTCCTAATTTGTTTTATTTAAACGTTCAAATGTTTTACTTATTGTAATCACTTAAATCAATCCAACGAATTATTTTGTTTTACCTAAATTGAGTTAAGTGATGATTCAACGAATACAAGTCCCCTATTCATTTGAATAATATATATATATATATATATATAATTTTTGAACTTTTCTAAATTTGTTAATTTATTATACAATATATCCATTGTTTCATTCGTATTTCTTATATCTTCGTTTTAAATTCGGCCTTAAATGCAATGTGAAATGAAAAAATGTCAACGTTCATATACCCCTATACGTTTAACTTTTATTTTACATATAATATGTTATAATTAATTATACAATACAAACATTATTTTATTCGTATCCTCGTCTACCTAATACTTTAGATATAACTTCACGTACCTGTTCTTCTTCTTCTTTTTTTTTTCAAAATAATAACATAAAACAAAATTTCCAGAAGTTTAAGATAGAATCTTCTTAAACACTATAATGGGGGGGGGGGGCGATGGGGATCTAGTTTCCCCAAGGATATTCGATCGAGAAACGTAGCAAAGTAATTCTGTACAAAGACCTCTTGTTGGTGACGTAATGCTCAATCAGCCGATGCTTCTTGGCACCTGCCACAGTTACAGAGTGGAACACACTACTCTTGGCAACCCTCAGTTTCGACGAGGGCGAAGACTTTGTTGCTCGATGCACTCTCCCACCCCTCCCTCTCCCCCTCCCCACCCTTTCTTCCCCACCTCTTCTTCTTCTTCTTCTTCTTAAAAGAGACAGAAAGAGAGAGAAGGAGAGAGAATCGTTATATTTGTGGTACGCCACGACCTGGACATCAACTTTCGAGCTTCTTCTAAATATAGGCACGGCCAGGGTTGGCGAAGGTGGTGCAAGGCCGAGTCAGGACGACGGTACATTGGCCAGAAGAAACGCGTTCGAGCTTGGATTAACGACTTTATACATAGCTCACTTTAAAGTGAACTTTATTATTAGTTTTATCGGATATATACTATGGTAGATATATTATATCTACATATGTATGTATATATATATGTATTATATATAATACATACCGAGAACTCGACGCGTCTCAGTTTCTTTCCTCGCTTGGGTGAGGGAGAAAAATTTCTCTTTTATAATAATATATCATTTTTTTTTTTTTTTCATTTTACTCGTCACACAATCGTATTTGATTTATGTTTTTTTTTTTTCTCAAATTAATCGACAAATTGAGATATTTTATTTTTTAATTGTTAAGCTTAATGCTGCGAATATACAGAAGAAGAAGAAAAAGGAAGAGAAAGGAAAATAAAAAGAAATCGTATTGTGGACGATTGAGAATGACGTTATTATCTAAACAAGGAAATGATATCTTTTCAGGGTTGATTATTAAGACGATATGCGTCAGATCGTAGATTACAAGAGAGAGAGAGAGAGAGAGAGAGAGGAGGAAGAAGGTACATAACTAAACATAGGTCCTTGCACTTGGCAGTTTGCACTATTTCGGTCTCATGCCAAGAATCTATTGTACTCGACTCGTCGAAGTTATGCGTTTGTAAACATTCGTAAATATTCTCGCAGACAGTGAGTTGCGGCATATTCCGGTGAATTGATAGAGAAATATCGTTTATCAAGGTAGCCAAGAATCGTCATGAAATTTTATATGCCATCTCTTACACTACATTTCCATCTATATATTTTTATTTTTTTAAATATACTCCTATATCAATATATTATACATATTCCTTTGTTTTTTTTGTTTCCATTACGATTTTTCTTTCCTACAATACTTGTATACATTTTTGTTTTTTTTCTTCTTTCATCTTTACTGACATATATGGAGGTATATAATTTATTTATCAATATTTTAACTTATTATTTTAATATAAAATATATTTTCTTCTGTGCAATTTGCATAAACAAAATTTATCGAAATGCAATAATTTAAATAATCAATAAAATTATGCTACAATAACGAATGATGATCTTTTTTGTTATCCCTAGTTTGACGTACGAGTTAAAAGGGTTAATTAACAGTAACATTATAATTGGGTTCATCTTTCGTTTTCTTTCTTTCTCTCTCTCTCTCTCTCTCCCCCCTGTTTTCTGTCTCTGTTTAAATGTCGACAATGAAGAATATAGGTCGGCAAAGTCGAAGTTAGCGAATTTTGGACAGCAACGGCCTTGTGCCAAAATTGTTGCCGAATGAACCGTAACAATTTCTCTCTCTTTATTTCTATTTTTTTTTTGTCACGAATCCTACGATTCCAACCAAGCAACGTTACTTTCTACATACGATATTGCACCTTTATTTTGTTCCCATCGAATTAAATGAATTCGATTTTACGAAATATATTATCTCGAAAGTCAACAATCTATCGGTAAAAAAATGTTATCCAATATTTAAAATGTAATTCCAATTCGCGAATTTCATGAAATTTATCTTTTACGTTTTCACATCCTCAGATTTTGATTGTTTATTCTTGAACACTGGAAATAAATATGTACGACTTTATTATTATGTATTACGTTAAAAAGGTATGAAAGTTAGCCATTTCAGTGGTTACAATGCAAAATGTTCCGACATTTCGAAAGAGGAACACGATCATAAATATTTCAACTTTGGGTCTCTTTCGAACGTGAGAAAAAATAAAGAGAAAGAGAGAGAGAGAGAGAGAGAGAGAGAGAAAAAAAGAGAATCGTTTTGCCAAGTCTTCGAAGCTTTATTAAGCTCATCCACAACGTGGCATATGTTCCCCTGTGTACGTTTTTAAAGCCAGCCGAGGCATTGTTTTCAAAAACTCTCAGAACGTTGTAAGAGGTAGTACGAAGAAGTTACTTAAACGATTTTGTTCAAGAAAATCGTACCGATCTGTCCTCACGAACGTTTTATCATTGACATTTATGGTAACCGTAGATTTTCTTAGGATTATAAACTTTCCCCTTTGGACGATAATCTGATTTCATTTTCTTTTCTTATAACCAAGAGATCGAAAAACGAGCGTGATTTAAATACATTTAAGCCTTTTTTTAGTAACAACAAAAATCCTTTTTTTACGTGCATACTTGACTGGGGGGGGGGGGCGGAGAGTTCTCATATTAAATTATTTATATGGATTGAAATATAAAAATGATTGATAATTTGAATACGAAAGAAATAACTAACACGTTTAAGCAACAGTTTTGATGTTACATATTGTCGTTTGCTGATTGATAAAACAAAAAAATTAATCAACAAATTTGAATTCGTTAAATTCACGTATCAAATATATAAATATACGAAAATTATAATAGAATCTAATCTTTGTAAAGAAAAACGACAGAATGAATGCATAATTTCGATAAAAAATTTGTACACGGATTGATACAAAAAATTGATAAAAACTGTTGAATCGTCAATTAACAATGCAGTGATGAATTCGAGGGTAAAATACTAAAATCTGAACATTATAATCTTAAATTTTAGTAATTAAGTGGATTATTCCGTTTATACATATGCGCAACGTTCGGAAAGTCATATAAACAACATTTAATAAAAGTATTTTCATAGAAGAGAAAGTGCCAGTCTCAAGGTGGATTTCGAAGAGGACGGAGCTCCGAACATATATTCCGAGCTTTATAACCAAAATAGACATTTCTATCGATTAATTAGCAATTATTTTAATACCCTAATGCACTCTCTTTATATTTCAGCTTGTTTTAACATATATATACTAGTATAAGCAATACACACTTATTAACATACTTTAATTATTAAATGATTTCAATGTGATATTCTTTTCGATGACATTTTTATTCCCCAAAGTTATCATTGCACAAGAACGTTAAAATAACAATTGTACATTAGTTTAAACAAATTACATAAAAATTAAAAGAATGCTAAAATCAAATTTATATGAATTTTTACAATTTGTCAACAACAGTTGACATTAATATTAATTATATTAAACACACAATTAACATTTTCAAATTTGTCTCTTTGAATAAAAATCATAATTTATATATATATATATATATATATATATAGCAATGGAAAAAAAGGGTTAACAAAAGTTGAGTACAACAACGAAATTCATATTCCCGTCTGGTAGAACACGAAGAGAAGGCAAGAACAAGAACAAGGATGAGGAGAAGAGGCACGTGGAGAACTTGGCCAGTGTTTAATGTATTTTCCTCTCCGATGCGACTTGTCTCGCTTTTGTCCTCGATGATATTGTGTCCTTCTTGCTCCTAGTTTCTCTCGTTTTTTTAGCTTTATCTCTCTCTCTCTCTTTCTTTCTCACACACTTATGTTACTCGTTTCTCCTTTACTTGCTGCTTCTCACTGACATCGAGCAACAATACACCGGCTCTGTCTGCTCGGATACAACCTCTCCATTGTCCCGCCAAACAGTTTCTCAGTCCGTGAGAGAAAAATAAAGAGAGAAAGAGAGAGAGAGAGAGAGAGAGAGAGAGCAAGACTCGCAAACGAGAACCTTGTACGATATATCGTAGAGCATGTATATATTGTATACATACCACGAAGAAGACACGTTCTGTTCATGTCTTCTTCTTCTTCTTCTCCTTCTTCTTCTTCTCTTTCTTTTTCTTTCGTTTGCAACGCGATCAACAAAAAAGACTACTTCTATTCGGTTGTAAAGTTTTATAGTATCAACTTACTAGCAAACAATAATAATATTATTATTATATTTAATATCAAGAAAAATGTGTGAACGCTCTTACATTATCATAAGTTTGAGAACCACTGGATTAAAGTCGTAAATATACTATCTCACTAAACGTATCTCTAAATAAGAATATGTGTATAAGATAAAGATAATATTGTTTCTTTACCTAATCTTTATCTTTTTTCTCTTTCTCATTGCAGGTGGGTTTCCAATATTGAAAGGCACTTTCATTCTTACGATAGATTGGTTATATGTAAGTAAGAATATTATTTTTGTAATCTTTTTTTATAATTTACCCTTTAGATTAAAATCGATAACATTAAAAATAATTTTTATGTTCACGTACCATCGATAATTTTAAAAACTAAAATTACAAAAAGTTTACGTTTTTTACGACACATTTGATCAACGTCTGACAGTTATCTACTACAGCCAACAATCGCAGACATGCTTTTTCGTATCCTATAAGGACGACACGTGGTTCCTTAAAGATACATTTTCGGTGGCTCCCTACGAAAGAGTCGTTTTTCATGAACGCCCACATCTTCCTCTCGTGATGCATTCGCAAACGCAGAACGGATCGGTGATCCTGCTGGTAGGTTCAAGGCCGATTACGAGTCGTCGCTATTACTTTCGCCAAGTTCTCCTCACGGATACGTTCGCGCATGTATATACATATATATATATATATATTATATATAACAGGCTTAAGTTGTTTCTTTGTGGTGGTGAATAGTAGTAGTGAGTCGAAACGTGTTGTTTCTTTTTCTCTCTCTTAATTTTTCTTTTCCCAGAGCACGATGCTCCTCTCTCTCTCTTTCTCTCTCTCTCTCTCTCTCTCTCTCTCTTTCTTTTTCTTTCTCTTTCTTTTTCTCTCTTTCTTTCTCTTTGCCGAAGTCTCTTGCTCCTCTCACGGCCAACTACATTCCTTCGGGATCAGAGCCGTGCCGCACCTACTCTCGAGCCCGGATCCTTCTTTCTTCAATCGGTGCGGAGGCTTAACAGAGTAAGGAAAAGAGAAGAAGAGAGAACGATAAAGAAACATTCGTTACATCCCGAGTAAGAAAAGGCGAGAGACAAAGTTATCGCGTTAAAAAATCTCTTTCAGCGGCTCGTGAATCTTCTTTACCTACCGCGCGTGTATACTTCTTTCTAACCTCCTGTCCTCTACCGCTTACTTCCTTTCCGTTTTTTTTCGAAAACGACAAGAGAAAAGTAACAAGACTTTACGTAGCTTTGTTCGTGCCATTCTGACCGTTTCGGTGATACCTCTTTTGTCCATTTTTACCCGAATATTCTTGAAAAGATCGACGCACAAACTCGCGAAGTGAGTTCTTCGAGATTTTTTCCAAAAATGGCCGAAAAAAACTTGACGCCATCTTTTATTTGCGCGTCTCCCCATTTTTACTCTATAACTACTTACTCGTTGTTTATTTTCCTTCAGTATACGCATTCGCGTAATATCCTTATCATATTTTTGTCAACATTTCAATCGTAAATTTATTATTCGAGCAATTAATTTAATTACATTGGTATAATATATTAAGAAAATAATAATTTATCTCGAGATAATTATGATTAAAGGCTGATCCGGTTCTTAGGTATTATATTGTAGAACTTCTTTAGAAAATTTAGAGATAAAAGTTTGTACAAGTTGAGAGAAAATTCGAATACTTTTATCTCTTTCTTTTACTTTGTCGTATTCTTCTCCTTTTCCTCTACCTTATATATTTCCAACTATTCTTGGGAATGTCGCCAGAAACTTAGCTCTCTCTCTCTCTCTCTCTCTTTCTCTCTTATCTCGCGCTTTTGTACAAAAAGGATTCGTGTTTTAGCACGGATACAATCCGCGTACCGAGACGAACGAACGAACGAACCTTCCTCGAATGGACAGTTTCTTTAATCTCCTGCGTCACGCTTCTTCGCGAAAGAAGAAAAAGCGATCCATCCCACGGGAACGATTTAAAAGTCGCTCGATCGTATCTAACTGGAAATTAGCTTTCTAGTCGGAACGATGGATCTTTTTTTATTTTTGTTTTCTTTTTTTTTATTTTTGTTTTATCTTTTTTATTTATCGATTATACGCCTTCATACTTATAAACGTAATTTATAATTATCGTAAACGAATTGTAAAATTAGTAATGTGATATATTAACAAATTCTTTTACATCGAATATTATTTACGAACACATTGTTGACAAAGAAAATATAATTATTTCGCGAGAATAACGACGCGTCCCGCGCAATGCGACGTTCAATGGTGTTGAAATAGAAAGAAATATGCAACGTTGAGAACCACTGAAGAATACAAATGGACGATTCGATACGAACGCATTGTGAACAAGTGTGCGTATGCTGATGATGCGTTTGATGTTCCTGAGGCACGTTTGTCGCGCCGCACTGGTACAATATGCCATCCAGTGATAGTGAATATGCATACGTGTATAAGACCATCACGCACATGCTTATACATACATACACACTAAAGGAAAGATGCATCTTTTTCTTTCGTGTATGCGTCGCGTCATTACACATGCCTGCACAAATTTATTCTCTCATTCTCTTTCGTTTCTCTTTTATCTTCCTTACTAGCCCTTCTTTTCCTTCTTCTTCTTCTTCTTTATCGTTGTTGTGTTGTTGTTGTTGTTGCTTGCTTGTTTCTTTTTCTTTTACCACTTCTCTCTTTCTTTCTAATCGATAAATATGGTAGACGTCTGTACGATACGCGATGCTTACAATATTTTTCATTCCTCAACTACCACTTATTATACTTTTATGTAATATATCGTTTAAAAGCATAAAGAAACACATTACGATAACCAGTCATCGAAAAACAGCGAATACTTGTCAATAGTAATGATAATATTATTTGAATTACTGTTATTAGTTACTGTTATTACATTTAACGTTTCCATTTTATCGCATTGTTGTAAAATTTCAATAATAGTTCGTCACGATAGAAGAATGATAGAGAAATATAGAATTAATTAATATTTTCCTTAAAGGAAACTTTGACTGGATATGATCAGCGTTCTTCACACAACTTTCGTCTTGTCATCAAAAATTCCTTAGAATTTTTCATTCAAACGTAGTGAATATTTTCTATTGAAGATTTCAACGAACGTAGATCTTATCCAGCTGCCTTTCTGCATCTGTTTATAGAAGAAGGATGAAGAGAAAGACGAAGAGAGAGAGAGAGAAAGTGAGAGAGAGAGAGGAGAGTGGGGATTTCACAAAGACCGATGCAATTAAACGCGAAAAGTCTTTGACGTGCCGACGAGACTAATTAATCATTTAACGACTTTAACAATATCCTCTTTCAGTTAGACTATTGGCTTCTGGAATTTGGTGAATCTTAATATACATCCGGTTCTTACGTTCTTTTTTTTTTTTATCTTCGAAATTTATAAGATAAATTAACTACAATCGCAAATTGTATTACCTGTCTCGTAATTTCCTTTCTTTTTTTTTTTTTTCAATAAATATTCATTCTATTCGTGTACTTACGTTTGATTCCTACCGTTGTAACTTTTTATTCTTCTTTCGCGAAAAGACACGATTTCTCTTTTCGATTGTTCAATAAATCTTTAGGAAAACTCGTTTAGGGAAATTGCGCTAACGTAAAGAGAAGATAAATAAAAAGAATTAAAGGGGCCAGAAATGGTGACGAAGAATCCACAAGCGGATTGAAATAAGAAAGATTAAAATAAATAAAGAAAGAAAGAAAGAGAGAGGAGATCATCATCAGGGTCTTTCCGAGCAGGAGCGAAGTTGGTGCAACGTCAGAGCATACCGCGAAAGATGTCTTCCTTTTTGCGAGAGACCGGTTTCCCTCCTTTCTTACCGGCCTATCTCATTCGCGCTTCTCAACCAGGCCCAGGAGCTTTCTCATCCTTAGTTACCCATTCCGCACGCTCTTCTCTTTCGAATAGTCGAAAGATCATCGAATTAATCGCCCGTATAATTCGAAATTGTACACCCCAATTACGATCCTTAACGACTGCATGCAGTTCTTCTTCCCTCCCTCGTTCAACATATAATATCTTTTCACTCTTCTTCTATCCGTAATTTTCGAAATATTATACAGACGCGTAGCGGGGTTTGTTTTTCTACGTAGACACGCGAAATAACAAAAGAATATTTTTTTTTGCAAGGTCAACCGATCCGATCATATCGATAAAGAATTATGGGAAAAAAACGTCGATTGTTCCTATCATTTTGTTCTTTTTTTTTTTTTGTATCATTTTAATATTTCAATGTTTTGTATATACATCGAATGAAAGTCGCAATAAAAGATAATAACGTCGCGTTATATTTTCGACGTTCGTGGAACGAATTTCAATGTCAGGAGGTCTTCCCCCGTCGGTTGGGTAGTGAAAACTCTTAGAGAGAAAGAAAGAGAAAGAGAAAGAGAAAGAGGGAGAGGGAGAGGGAAAGAGGGACGAGTTTCGTCCGTGCGTGCATGCGTGCCACGATTATTCGGGAGTCGTGCAAAAATATCAAGAAGAGCCAACGGCCGCTGGGCTCCATGAAAGTGTACACAAACGGCCGATTCTGTCCGGCCATGTGCGAGTTGAAAAAGAAAAAGAGAAAAAGAGAGAGAGAGAGAGAGAGTAAGAAGGGGTATGGAAAGAGAAAAAATACAGGACAAAAAGAGTAAGAGAGAGAGAGAGAGAGAGCTAGTGATCTTTTCACAGACTGCGGGAGGTCCAGTAAAAAGAGTGAGTAACGAACAGAAAGAAAGAGAGAGAAAGAGAGAGAGAGAGAGAGAGAGATGGATAAATAGAGGATAGCGAATGTATTCGTGGATCTTGAACTCGTTCCCTCGTTCTTTGCGTTTAAAAATTTATTGTCTTTCCTTTATTTTACAGTAACTTGAGTCGTTCTCGAGATGCAATACTCCGAGACTCGTGAAATCGCACAACTCTTCTCTCTCTCTTTCTCTCTCGTTCTTTCACGATGTTTCAGAATTTTCGTTCGACGCGTGTGTTACCCATCGACGAGTTCTTTGATCTTTCCACGAAATGATAGTTCCGATAAACGCATCTCTCTTGTTTCCCATCATTCTCTTTTCCATTATTATTTCTTTTTTTTTCTTTCTTTCTTTTGATTCGTATCCATATCGTAAATATCTTGATAATGATGATAGAATTTGGGGGTTGATTGTTTGATAAAAAATTCAAATGGAAATAGGAAAAGTTTTTATTTGATTTCAATTCTCTTTCTCTTTCTCACAAGATAAGTTTTAATTTA